CGCCACCCATACAACTACCTTCCCCCTTCACCCATACTCCTCCCCGCCACCCATACCACTACCCCCCTTCACCCACACCTCCCCTGCCACCCATACCATTACCCTCCCCTTCACCCAGTCTCCTCCCGCCACCCTTACCATTACCCTCCCCTTCACCCTCCTCCCAGCCACCCATACCATTACCCTCCCCTTCACCCACCTCCTCCCCGCCACCCATACCACTACCCTCCCCCTTCACCCACACTCCTCCCCGCCACCCATACCACTACCCTCCCCCTTCACCCTCACATCCACCCAGTCTACTTAATACAAGACCATCTTCCTCAACATACAAATCCGAAAAAAAATTCTTATTCCAATAAATAAATAAAATAAAAAGCACTCAACGCCCCTAGTTTTCTCTAAGGAATAGACAAAAAATGCTCTCGAAATCAAATCAATTCCCTTCAGGTTAAATCTAATTCCGACTGGTATTACCCAAACTGGTTCTGAATCCTGCACTGTCTACAAAAAGGACTGAGAGATCGAACCACGGACCAATAATCTAATCAATCTCCAGTCGCTGAGTCAATTTAAACTCCCGCTCCAAGTCGCCTAACTCCCACCAAAAGCCACACGGGTCCATTAAGCTAGGAACAGCTGTTATGACAACGTCCCACCATACTGTACACTCACCATTAGCTTACTGTACGTTACTCCCCGGGGCGCGAGTGATATACTGTGTTGTGGCTGACGCTGGCGGCCTCTGTTGGGTCCAGCCTTCCTTATCTGTCTCTCCTATGATTCACAAGGTTCCATTAACTGATTAACAAGGTTCCCCTAATTTACATTGTTCCATTTATAAAATTCGACTGATTTACAAGGTTCTACATACAAGGTTCCACATACAAAGTTCCAGTTACAAGGTTTGACTGATATACAATGTTCCATTGACTTATTTACAAAGTTCAACTGACTGATTTACGAGGTTCCCTGATTTACAAGGTTTCAATTACTGATTAACGAGGTTCGACTGACATACAAAGTTCCATTGATTTACAGTTCCTCTGATTTACAAAGTTCCGCTGATTTACATGGCTCCGTTGACCAATTTACAAAGTTCCGCCAATTTACATCGTTCCATTGCCAAATTTACAGTTGCTCTGATTTACATGGTTCCACCGTGTTTTGTTGTTCAATATCAGGTCACGTCTTCACGGTGTGTTCCTCCAGGTTCTTATCACTTCTCAGTGTAATACAAGTTCGCCTCCATTACCTATGTGTTTTCAGGATCGTTCAGGTATGCGACACTCAGGGCTATAAGATATAGTTCTCTGTACCGTGTTGTGTGTTGCGGTGCCGGAAGTACTGAGTTCACGGCTACACGAGGAAGGTTTCTGTTTACGACTCACTTGGAGAGAGAGAGACACAAAGAAAGAGAAAAAGAGATTGACAGAGAGAGAGAGAGAGAGAGAGAGCCCATGGGATAAGCCAACACTACACTCGATGTGAAATCCCGTCAAAGTACAGTACGAGCTATTTTCACCTCACTACCTATTTTTGTCCCCTTTATATTCCCATCTAGGTGGCGTCACCCTGGTAGTGGAGGCATTATGAATGTATATTTGCAAATTGGTATCTGTTTTTGCGGGGGGCCCTTGACACCTTCCAGCTGGTCTGTGTTTTGGCTGTCGGAGGCGTGAAGGAAAAAATTTATCTTTTTTTTTTACTTTTTCTCTCTGATGCGCTGGAAAGAGTGAAGGTGTAATATTCAAGATCATTTTCTTACTTATGAAAAATCAGAGTTTTGAGGATTGAGGAAAGAGTTTGCTGAAGGTGTGAGAGAGACGGGTACACCTCTCCCTCACCCCACCCCCCACCCCCACACACACACACACACGCTCCAGCACCGCCAACTCAAACAGAATAATATAACAGGGTTTCCATTGATATACATCTACCTATATATAACAACACGTAACCCCCTCACCTTCTGTACCATTAGTTTACGAGTCTGAAAAACATCTTGGGGCTCTTGTTTTTTACTTTCCTCACACAACGAAAATCAGCCGACCATACTCACTCCCCTGCCTCATGACTGCTCGAGTGGGCTTCAGTCCTAATGGGCCCTAGTCTTAGTGTGTCTCAATCCTAGTAGGCCCCAGTTCTAACATTCTTTAATCATAAGAGTTCAATTGAGCCCCAATCTAATTGAGTTTAATCTTAGTAGTCCGCAATCCTATCATTCCTCAGTGCTAATAGACCTCAATCGTAATGAAATCAAGTCCTAATGGATTTTAATGCTAATAGAACCCTGTAGTAATTGGTCTTAACCCTACGAAACGCCAGTCCTCCACGCCTTAGTCAAAAAAGGCACCAATCCCAGTAGACTTCATTCCTAAAAGGCCCCAGTCTTGTTGGGCCCCATAACTAAGATACCTATCCTAATATCCCCCGGCCCCAGTCCTAGTAGGGCCCTACCTTAATAAGCTGAAGCTAACCTAACCTAACTTAACTTGAACCTTGAGAGTGGAGCCCATTTGACCTGCAACTCTCACTGACTCTCTCCCATTCTCTCATCTTTCTCTCATAGTAGGATAATGGCAGGAGGAGAGGTAAGTAACTCCCTCTCTCCCTCCCTCACTCCCACTCACTACCACGCTATCTTCCACTCCCTCTCTTTTTTTCTATTCGCCCTCTCCTTTGTTAAACCTCCAGTACACCCCCTCCACTTTCCTTCTCTCACCTTCTATTACCTTCCCCTCTTCTCCTCTCCCTTATCTTCCTCCTATCCCTTCCCCTTTCTCCCCTCCCTTCCTTTCTTCTTCACTCTTCCCCTTCCCTCTCCTCTCCCCCTTTCGCACAACCCTATTCCTTCTCCCTCATCGCTCCTCATTCTTTCCTTCCATTTCCTTCACCACCTCTTCCTCCCCTAACCTCTCTTACCTCACCTCATCCGCTCCTCTCGTCCTTCACTAGTCCCATCCCTCTTTCCTCACCTCCTCTCCTCCCCGTCACTCACAGGCACCCAGTCCCCCGTAGTGTTCAGGACGCCTAACATAATTTGAGGATAATAGACGCAAGATTAAACCAATGGAGGGCATGTTCTTGGGAGCATCACGCAGTCTGTCGGGTGATGAGGCTGCTGGCTCTCTCTCTCTCTCTCTCTCTCTCTCTCTCTCTCTCTCTCTCAGTGGGTGCGTGTATGTATTTCAAAATTTTATCCCACCTGCCCTGTCTTTTGTGTGTGTGTGTGTGTGATAGCTGTATAGAAATAGCTGACGCATCTGTGTAATATGATTCCACTCTTATGATTTTCCACCTGAGTTACCACCGTGCAGTAGTAATAAGCCATAACCAAGGGGGGGGGGGTGTCCTCTTTTGATAGCTCTGTGTGTCATTACTGTTGCCTTATTGTAAAATGATTATGGGGTCAACAATCCGGTTCAGTGACTCTTGTTTCATTCTTGTTTCACTCGAGGTCGTGACTCTGATCCGATGTTGAAAATCTTTTGACACGAATTACTGAGACCACGAATCAATCTACGAACATAATATTATGATTCATTGGTTATAAAGTAAAATTACAAATCTGAAAATAAATAAAAACAGGACTGTGAATCTGAGGTCATATAATCCTAGACCGCGAATTAACTGCAACGGATTTAGGTCCGTTAAAAAGATTTTACAAATCCAGATACACTCATCAAACACCTCGAATCCTGGGACACAAACCCTCAGCCATAAATCCGTACCCGTGAATCCGACAACCATCCACCCCAGAGAGTGAACCCAGGTAATGAATCCGAGTCAGAGGGAAGCATTCTCATAAATCCCGTGTCCGCTGTTGTAATCCGGGGCTCCTTAATTGCTGTCGTTGCCTAGATTAATCCCCAGGTTTAATCTCAGCATTCGGGGACGGGTTAATCCACCATCCCTCTCGACCAACACCCCACGACCTGCCAGTTTACTTGTGATTGTAAGTGGTTTAGAAGCTCACTCGTGGTAAATCCGGTTTGGGTAATTGCCAGTTAGGAGTGACATCTCGGAGGTGGTTGGAAAATAGATGAGAGAGAGAGAGAGAGAGAGAGAGAGAGAGAGAGAGAGAGAGAGAGATTGACAAGCTACCTCGACCAATCCCACACGAACATTAAGAAAAATCATAAGAGATAGACCTTTATTTCAGGCGTCAGCCTCGTGAAAGGATTTGGACCTGCCAGGATATTAATTTTACGCTCGAGTTATTATATAATGGCCATTTTAAGGTGACTGGAGACGCACGAGGGCTTCTTATATCGACGCCAACCAACCCTGTGGCTTAGTTGGGTGGGTCTCTCTCCTTCTCTCACACACACACAGACAGACAGACACACACTCTCTCTCTCTCTCCAAGTTCCTTTCTTGCCTACACTTGCATAAATTACAGTCTCATTACGTGAGGCAGACAAGATATTGCACTACCACGGACGGACTTATCGACTCCCACAGTCTCCGAATTCCAAGGTGGCCAATGTTAGAAAAACTTACACGAACCTGACAATATTGTCAATGTCAAAACATCTTCACGAACGGGATCGCAAGTGTGTGTGTATATATATATATATATATATATAGACTGAATATCGAGCCCTACAATAACTGAACCTAACCGAACGGTCTTGGAAGGTGGGGGTGGAGAGAAAAGGGGGTAATAAATTTTCGAGTTTGGTTTGACTTGTACTAATGGAGATATTAAGTTTGTTTTCACACTCACATCTTCACTAGAGGACGAAAGTTGAAGGTGAATCAATATTATCTTCCTCTGGGTAATGAATTACACGGTGGTGAAGCTAACAGTAGAATGTCGAGGTTTTAATTTAATTCACCATAAACGTTAACAATTTATTTCTTTAAGAATGTTAAAGTTCAAGACAACCTCGTCCTCAACTACACTTAAGTTAGGACTTAAAACATATGTTAAGAATGTCGTCCATCTTGCAGTAAAAGACACCACTAACGACAATTATCCTCTTCTCCTGCAGGTGTTGTGGCCGCGCCTGAGTCACTGAAGGTCGCGGTGACTAAAGTGACAGGTGACGGGGCGGTGCTGAGTTGGGTCACGTCCTCTGGTCACAGGCAGGCCATGAGCTCATGCTCGCTCCACTATGGCCCGGTGAAGGAGGCGATGCACTTACAGACGGAGGTGAAGATGAAGGATCAACACATCAGCCTGGCACGCCTCACCCCTCACACCACCTACTACGCCTTCCTCAGATGCTCCCACGCCGCCTCCACCTACAACTCCAACAAAGTCCACTTCACTCCACGTAAGTTCCACCTAACTCTCTCTTTGTTTGCCAATGCAAAACTATATTATCTGAATCTATCTATCTATCTATATACTAGTATGAAACAGACTAGACAGACAGGAAGCAGTCATAACAAATATATATATATATATATATATATATATATATATATATATATATATATATATATATATATATATATATATATATATATATTACCTATCCATTTGGCGTAGGTGAGCGGCAAGAGGGAATCATTTCCTTGATTGAGTTTGCACAACACATTAGTAAATGCAGCTTTTAGAAAGAACGCTAAAAAGAAATGTATTTAACAATCACAATAGAAACATAAATAATACTGAACAGACCCCTACACATTTGTTTGTGTGACTTTCTCAACAGGACAAGATCAGAGATTACCGCTGGGTTATTTTAAACTGAATATCACACCGAACAATTAAAACTCATGAAGAAGAAAGACTTCAATTTATTAAAAAAAGTCTGAGGAGGAATTCAGCTCAGTTTAGAGTTAATATGAAGAATAATTCACAATAGTTTGACAAACAATAAATTCGTGTGCACACTAACGTATTATCCCGCCAACATAATAAACAAAAGTTTTAATCATCGTACATTTAAGTCTCGCCCGGCCTCGACGCCAGGCGGGGAAAGCAGGCGGGTAACGACTCAGATAAATATGGTAGAAAAAGAGATTCTAACTCTAACTCGCCGTTAACAAAGGTTGACTACGTTATTTATAGCTGTGGGTGGATATTTTTCCCGTCCATCGCGCTCGGGATGTTGAGGCAGCCATATCTACTGGCAGCCGGGCGTCTCTATGTGATCCGAATGAGCGCCTCCCACACATCGCCCTGGCTCACTGGAGCGCTAAATTATCCTACCCTTTTTATTTCTTTGTCAACTTAGTGATCAGCGAGATATTTTTTCTTTCGTTTTGACAATACGTTTATATATATATAAAAAATACAATATTAATAGCAGTAATAATAAACATAATCTGTCTCTGGCCTTCGTCTCTGCATATTCGCATGTGTCCGGTCCTTGTGCAGCCACTACTTCGGTTCAACCATCGCCAAACTTAGCTAATAAGGAGATGGTTCCCCCGAGTGCTTCTAAAGGGATAAGAAGAAGAGACGGTTATATTTAATGGGATTCTACAATGTGTGTGTGTGTGTGTGTGTGTGTGTGTGTGTGTCCTACGCCCACTAGAGCTAAAGAATGTCAGTAATCTAGTTTCAGAGTATGATTGTATAACTACTACCATACTATTATTACTATTACTACTACTACTAATAATAATAATCCTCAACTCTCATGATGTTTCAGTTCTGTCATTTAAATCCCAACTGTAGTTTTCATATGGTACTTCATGACCTCCTCCACCATTGGTTAAATATTTACCACTAGTATTACATCCTTCATTAGTGTGTACCCTTTACTTCCGTGTGAGTCTCTTGTATACTATCACTGATCAAAATGGCTTATTTTTCGCTAAATAACTGACTTTGTGTTAGCGGATTAAGTGGGAGGGAGAGGACTCTGGTAAGTGAGAGTTGGGCAAGAGTTGAAGGTAACGCTGAAGGTGCTGAGTCATTAAGGGCGAGCACACACACACACACACACACACTAAACACACACAGAGTCTCCTCTCTCTCCCTTCCCCCTCTTCCAATTTCTTTTCATTACCTGTCCCCATACATCTCCCCTCCTCCCCCGCTCACCAACAACCGGGTATTTACACATGCTGGGCCTCACCACGCCCACATCTCATTACGCCAGGCGCCATGGTATCAACACGCCGTACCCGAAGGTGTGTGTGTGTGTGTGTGTGTGTGTGTGTGTGTGTGTGTGTGTGTGTGTGTGTGATAAACTGGGACTGGCGAAAGCTTTTCCGTGACACACACACAATGCGACACAGCTGTTGATGTTACATGTACGAGTATACATAATAAATACTGGGATACATACCACGTACTGTGATGTACTTAAAACCAAACTTAAAACATACAGTAATACACTTTCTCCGAGGCGATATATGATAAATACTGCATACATTCATGATAATAATAATAATAGTTGCCCCTCGTGCAACAACGATGGCCGGCCCTAGGGCCACCTAGGCGTTAATTTGTTTAAGGTGCAGAAGCTGTCGCCAACACAACAACCAAATCCTAAGTTAACGAGTTGCATGACCCAGTGTCAAGGAATAGTCCGAGAAGACCGGACAACTCGCCAATTGCACTGGCTAACCATTACCCCGGAATACGATCCGGAAATCGATTAACATCCAGGTTCCCAATTACAATAGTCATCCAATATAAGGTGTATCAGATACACCTATATTGGATGACTATTGTAACACAGGTAACACAAAGTGAACGAAAAGTCTCTGAGCACCTACAATAATTAACAGTTTAGTGATTTACCGTATTCTGCTAGTAATAAATATTGACAAAAATCAAAATTAATGTTGGAAGAAGATATCATTTCCATTATTTAAGCCATGGAGAACAATGTACAGCATGTAACATTGAAGGTCTAACATGGAAACAAAAACTATATTTCTTATTACTTTTCGACCATCTTGTGTAGTACAATATACACTCATACCAAAAAGTATCTTTAAGGAGGGATCGACGGATGAATTTCAAAATGAACACCAAGACTCCTGTTGTCTCGGTAGGGTTGTCAAAATCCTTCGTCTGTTGTGTCATATTGTCTAACAAAAAATCGAAAGGTTTATCTCCATAACAGACTAAACAAATAATCTTAATTTTTTTGTCTATTAACTCGAGTTTTTACAAAGAGATGATTAACAATTTAATCCTGAAATCATTGCATTTTATTTCTTCATTTCTATCGTAAAAGTTGAATCTAGAACTACGAATTCCATCTATATATTTCTTTCACACACGAAATGCTCTTAGCGGATAACGTAATCAAAGCGACTGACTATAGGAAGTTGCAGGTCAAATGGGTCCCTAACCTAACCTAACCCACTCCAGCCCAGCCCAGCCCAACCTAACTTAACCTAACCTAACCCACTCCAGCCCAACCCAACCTAACTTAACCTAACCTAACCTAACGTAACCCACTCCAGCCCAGCCCAACCCAATCTTAACCTAAACTAACCTAACCTAACCCACTCAAGCCCAGCCCAGACTAACCTAACCTAACCTTATTTAACATAACCCAACCACTTGGATTGCGACGCATTAGAACTGGGGATCATTCAAAGTGGGACTCATTAGCACTGGGATCATTAGGACTGAGGGTCATTAGGCTTGGGGTTCAATAACACTGGGGTTCAATAACACTGGTGTTCATTAAGACTGGGGTTCAATAACAATGGGGTTCAATAACACTGGGGTTTGTTAAGACTGGGATTAAATAACACTGGGGTTCATTAAGACTGGGGTTTAATAACACTGGGGTTCATTAAGACTGGGGTTCAATAACACTGGGGTTCATTAAGACTGGGGTTTAATAACACTGGGGTTCATTAAGACTGGGGTTCAATAACACTGGGGTTCGTTAAGACTGGGATTAAATAACACTGGGGTTCATTAAGACTGGGGTTTAATAACACTGGGGTTCATTAAGACTGGGGTTCAATAACACTGGGGTTCATTAGGACTGGGGTTCAATAACACTGGGGTTCATTAAGACTGGGGTTTAATAACACTGGGGTTCATTAGGACTGGGGTTCAATAACACTGGGGCTCATTAAGACTGGGGTTCAATAACACTGGGGTTCATTAAGACTAACACTGGGGTTCATTAAGACTGGGGTTCAATAACACTGGGGTTCATTAGGACTGGGGTTCAATAACACTGGGGTTCATTAAGACTGGGGTTCAATAACACTGGGGTTCATTAAGACTGGGGTTCAATAACACTGGGGCTCATTAAGACTGGGGTTCAATAACACTGGGGTTCATTAGGACTGGGGTTCAATAACACTGGGGTTCATTGAGGCTGGGGTTCAATAACACTGGGGTTCAATAACACTGGGGTTCATTAAGACTGGGGTTCAATAACACTGGGGCTCATTAAGACTGGGGTTCATTTGACTCCACACCATTAAGAAATGTTCCTTAGCCTCCATTTACACAGATGTATCCATGTCGAGAAAAAACTAAACACATAAATCCTAATACAACATTGAAAAGGAAATAAACCTAAGGCATACGACTCTAAAATAAAATAAAAAGAAAAACTGATAAAAAACAGATAACTTTTGTATTATCAGAGTAAGGAAAAGAATAGAAGACTTTTAAGGTATACTGTTGATAATTCACTCCATTATTGGAACCCTGAAAGTGTTAAAACTATTACGGCGGAGTTGCGGTTTAATTTACACCCAAAACCTTTCTATTTATTCAGGTTTACGTCATTACTCGCACTAATGGTCTAATTCACACGACTTTCATTTTTTTCTTTTTTAATTAAGAAAAAAATTCAGACGATAGTCGAGTCAAGAAGTGCCAAATTTCGCAGAGATGAAATCTAACCTAATTCAACCAAGCCTATCCTGACCTTTGACACTGACCCTATGGTGAATAGTATACGTACTGCTCATATATATATATATATATATATATATATATATATATATATATATATATATATATATATATATATATATATATATATATATATATATAAGAAAGAACATAAGAAAATAAGGAGTCTGCAATAGGCCGGTTGGCATGTGCATGGCAGCTCCTGTCGAGAGCTACTACCACTCTCCATATATATACATATATATATATATATATATATATATGTTGATAAAATCACACAGGGAAGAGGGATACAATGGAGCACCTTATCTTTCGTCTTTATTCAAGACATTTCAGAGGCAACTGAATTGCATGGACCGAGAGAGGCTAAGTACACAGGGTGACCTTACTAAACATGAGGTCAGGTCATAAACACGACATCCACACCAACACCACCACACACAAAGGAGCTTAAAAGAAAGGGCGACGTAA